ACTTGGGATCTTTTGAGCTTGATGAACATGTCAAGATAATTCCATTGAGTCCTTGAGGCCATATGTGAGCTTGGTTTGCCATTGGCTAGGTCAAACAGTCAAAAATTGCCTTTGTGCAGTCAAAACCCTAAAAATGACCATTTTGCCCTTTTGATGATCTGATCAAATTTCTTGTGGAATTGTGATCCAAACTTGATCAAATGGTCCATGTGAGTTCATAATGTTGATGTGGATCAAATTTCATGAGGTTTGACTGTCAATTGGCCACAGTTGACTTTTTCCCCAATACAGCTGATTTCTAGGTCAACTGTTCAATTGACTGGGTAAAACTTGGAATCAAGACTTGAAACTTGGTATAGGTAAACTTGGGAGTCCAATATGAAGCATGAAAGTCATTTTAGGCATTTTAGGTCAAAACATCCTAGGGCAAACACAAACCCTAATTTGAGTTCACAGTGCAAGGAGAAGCCTTGAGCAGAGGAAACCCTAACTGTATCTTGATCTTCAAAGGTCTTGTGATGAGAAAATGTTGAGGAAATGGGAGGGCAAATTTTGGGGTACAACACACACCCTATTACCAAATCTCATAACACCATTCTCATCAATCCAAAACTCGCCTTCTTGACCTTGGTTGATCAATGTCAATTTATCAACTAACCCAACATCGGACTTCTGTCCATTCCGAATTTCTTCCAGAATACCACTAGTCAGTTTCAACATACCCAATTTCACACTATTCGGAGTAGTTTCACATACCAAACTTAAATCTTTGAACTGCTCAACCAAATCTAACTCACGGACCATTAACATCGACATATGCAAGGACTTCCTACTCAAGGCATCCGCAACAACGTTTGCCTTACCAAGATGGTAATTCAAACCGAAATCATAATCCTTTAGAAATTCTAACCATCTCCTCTGCCTCATATTCAACTCTTTCTGATCAAAGAGATGCCTCAGACTTTTGTGATCACTGAACACCTCAAACCGAGAACCATATAAATAATGCCTCCATAACTTCAAAACAAACACAACAGCTGCCAACTCCAAATCATGAGTCGGATAATTCCTTTCATGTACTTTCAATTGTCTCGAAGCATAAGCCACCACCTGCTTATCTTGCATCAACACACCACCTAATCCCATTAATGATGCGTCACAATACACAACAAAAGACTTAGTCGGATTTGGCAAAATCAAGATCGGAGCACTTGTCAACCTCCTCTTCAGCTCTTGAAATCCTTTCTCACATTCAACATCCCAAACAAACATCTGACCCTTCCTGGTCAACTTAGTCAACGGTAACGCTAATTTGGAAAATCCTTCTATAAACTTCCTGTAATAACCTGCAAGACCCATAAAACTACGGATCTCAGAAGCATTCTTCGGCGCTTCCCACTGAGATAATGCTTCTACCTTCGTAGGATCCACAGTAATTCCATTCTTGGAAATTACATGGCCAAGAAAACTTACTTCACTTAACCAGAATTCACACTTGGACAACTTCGCATAAAGCTTCTTCTCTTTCAACAATTCCAACACAACTCTGAGATGTTCTACATGCTCTTCATCGCTCTTCGAATAAATTAGAATATCATCAATGAACACCACCACAAACTTATCAAGATACGGATGAAATATCCTGTTCATATACTCCATGAAAACACCAGGTGCATTAGTAACTCCAAACGACATAACAGAATACTCGTAATGTCCATACCTCGTTCTAAATGCAGTTTCTGAATATCTTCCGACTTCACACGAATCTGATGATATCCAGATCTCAGATCAATCTTACTAAATACACAAGCTCCAACTAGTTGATCCATCAAATCATCGATCCTCGGCAAAGGATACCGATTCTTGATTGTAACTTTATTCAGCTGTCTGTAATCAACACATAATCTCATTGAACCTTCTTTCTTCTTAACCAACAACACCGGAGCACCCCACGGAGAAACACTCTGACGAATAAACTTCTTCTCAAGTAACTCCTCCAACTGTTTCTTTAACTCCGCTAATTCAGATGCCGACATATGGTAAGGCGCCATCGACACCGGACTAGTTCCAGGAATCAAATCTATAGTAAATTCTACCTCCCTCTCAGGTGGCAATTCACTAACGTCTTCCGGAAACACCTCTGGAAATTCATTCACCACTGGCAACCCATAACTCTTTGCTTTTCCCTCCGCTTCTATTGCAGAATACAACATAAATACCACAGCACCATCTTTCACAGCTAGGTTCATCTGTTTAACCGACATAGTCACATCTTCGACACCAACCTCTTCAGGAAAAATAGTCGTCTTTGCAAAACAGTTGATATGAACCTGGTTGAATTCCAACCAGTTCATTCCAAGGATGATATCAAGTTGTTCTAACGGTAGGCACACTAAATCCATACCGAAACCCCTACCAAAAATCACAATAGGACAATTCCTACAAACATACGAAGTAGTCACTAAACCTGACGCAGGAGTATCAATAACCATACTTCCATCCATATTAGAAATTTCCAAATTCAATCTTTTAGCATAATCCAAAGCAATAAAAGAATGCGTAGCTCCAGTATCAATAATCGCAATCAAAGGTATGTCATTAATAAAACATGTACCTTTAATCAGCCGATCATCTGGCTTAGTCTCTGACCCAGACAATGCAAACACTTTACCACCACCTTGCTCCTTCTTGGGTTTTGTACACTGAGGACGAGTATGACCTTCTTCACCACAGTTGTAACAAGTCACCACTCTTACTCTGCAATCATTGGCCACATGGCCGAGTTTCCCACACTTGAAACACTTCTTATCATTACTTTTGCAATCCACCATACGATGTCCTGTCTCACCACACTTGTAGCACTTAATGGAAGAACTAGAATCTCCTCCACCAAACTTCTTCCAACCACCGGGTCTCTGATTACTTCTATCATAAGGCTTACCACGATCCATTTGTTGCTTACCCTTCCTATCAACATACCCTCGAGCATTCGACTTAGTGCTAGCAAGATCCTCCTCTAAAATCCTGCTACAGTCAACCAGATCAGGAAATCTTCGGATACGCTGATACTGAATACCCTGCTTAATCTCATCACGAAGACCATTCTCAAACTTGATACATTTGGAAAATTCTCCATCTGCATCGTTAGTATAATGAGCATAATACTTCGCTAACTCAGTAAACTTCGAAGCATACTCACTGACAGTCTTGTTACCCTGCTTGAGTTCCAGAAACTCAATCTCCTTCTTGCCTTTGATGTCCTCAGGAAAGTACCTCCTCAGAAAAGCCCTCCTGAACACAGCCCAAGTCAACGCAATACCATCTTCTTCCATTTCAGTTCTGGTAGCAACCCACCAGTCATCAGCTTCCTCTGCTAACATGTGAGTTCCGTATCTCACCTTCAGCCCTTCAGCATAATCAATTACTCTGAAGATCCTCTCGATCTCCTTCAACCACTTCTGAGCACCTTCGGTATCATGTGCACCCTTGAACAACGGAGGATTATTCCTCTGAAAATTCCCCAATTGTCGGTCAGCACCAATCACAGCTCCCTGCTGGTTCCCTCCGAGTACTCCAGCCAACATTCTTAATGCTTCAGCAATAGCATCGCCGTTTCTTCCGTTACCTCTTTCGGCCATTGTTCTGTAACTACAAAACAACCTCATCAGCACACAAGTATCGATAGTGTCATCTTACACTAGTCGCATACAAAAGGGATAACGACACAAGACAAGATCGACTATACTCTGATACCACTATTGTAACACCCCTTCTAAAATACCCCGAATAATATTAATTATATCAATGATTAAAGACATATTCCATCAGAGTTAACACGGAACAAGGGATGTCACAATTATGAAATAAATAAAACTTCCAATAAAATAGTAGTCATGCTACACTGAGGGTCATTATTCAAATAATTCAATCAAATTAAGACCATGTCTTACACAACGGAAAAATACCATAACCAAAACGGAATAAACCAAAACATAATTATTCCCAATGAAATTCAAAGAAACAATTGAATAATAACTAATTCCTCAACTAAACGTTCCCCAATGTTACAACCTATCAGAGCACGACACTAACACGCGGACTTAAAGTAACATAGCTCTAGAGCCATCCTCACCAACTCCTGAGCTGCTAACTTTAATCTGAAATTGTTAAAGTAAGGGTGAGATTTCTCATAATTAACATGCATTATAAGCTTCTCAATCAACATTATATCACAAGCATATTATTTCGCCCATTTTAGCATAAATTCAGATTCAAAACGCAGTTCCAATCATACAAGTCATTATGCACAAATCAATAATCAACCAAAGAATTGTAACACTGGAAGACATCCTAACATGTTACAATTCCATGCAAACACAAATGCAAACACAAATGCAGACACAATGCATGTGGTACCAACACGTGACCAAGTCACCCAACACTGATCCATCATCAACCTGATACAGCAACCATCGATTCGTCCATAAACACTCGGACACGAATCCAGCCTAACCACCCATCATCACCCGGGTATCGGTTAACAGCAATACAAGTCAAATTCCACACAATGGGAATTAACTCCACCAAAACAATGCATATGCACGCACATCACTAGCATGCAACATCAAATCAGTCTATGAAATACATCAATTTATCATAATTGAACCAAAACCAAAAACATGATATCTCAATGATCATGCACACCATCATTAGCAACATAAACATGCCTTTCATTCACACAATACTAATACATCCATCCATCACAAGTTCACTGCTACATACACACCCATGTGCGTTAGCCAATAATCACTTATTCCGGGATTTGACTCATTTTCAAAATAATTTCAGGTTTTAGGAAATCTTTTTATTTTATAAAATATAACATTAAATTTAAGAAATAACGTCCAAAACGGCACTCAAAACGGACTTACGGTTTGAAATTATGACTTTTCAAAGTTTAATATTTTTCAAAAAGTTACAGCAGAACCTGGTTCCTACATATGAAGGAACCGGTTCCTGCGAAGTTCAAAAATCACGCTTCTGGAAAAATGTATGGGAACCCGGTTCCTACCTATACAGGAATCGGTTCCTACGTGCATTTTTGCCAATTTTTATAAATTCACACAGTGGAACCCGGTTCCTCCCCACTGGGAACCGGTTCCCACGACCTGCAGAGTCAAATTCTGCACTTTTGACAGCATTTATTCATTCTAAACCAATTCCAAACATACCCATACGAATTGCAACATGAGAAACACTAAAACACATCCATTTTGCACCATTATAACATCAAACAACATTATTTCATCATTCCTTTTTATCATCTGACACCCTAATGGTTTTCAACCTACAATTCGACGCAATAGGGACAATTCTACGGAACCCTAGAATTACAAACCGGGATTCCCTAACATACTATGATCCATACTATTGAATATCTAAACCGATAATACGAATTAACTAATCGAAATCACCCCTTACCTTGTGGGTTCTTCGAATTCTGACGCTTCCGGTTTTCTCCTTCTTTTTCCTCTTCTCAAATGCACGTATGATGAATATTCCAAAATAACTCTCTTTCTCTTCTTTTTCCTTTTAATACTCCTTTTATTATTCCAATAAAATAATTAAATTAGTAATTAGTAAGAGTAGAGTATTTTACCCCTCACACCCTCTAATCACTCTTCACACCACCAATACTTCTTTCCTTTAATTAATTAAATTAATTCCAATAATCCAAAAATACCAATAATTAAATTTCCAATTAAATTAATAATTAAAAATTCTAATTATTTAATAATCGTATTATTTGGGGTGTCAGAGGAACGGTCGTCATGACCTATTAAAACGGAGAAGGCTGCAACGGTCGCTGTAGGCCAAGTCTTCAGGAAGGGCTAGCTGGCAAGAGTGTAACGGTCGTTACACCTAGGCAAGGAGAGTGTAACGGTCGTTACACCTTGGGCTTGGGGAAATTTAGGCCTTCCTTCATTTATTCTTCAGGACCTTTTTACTTATAATGCGCTTTGTTTTGTCATACACCCCATAGCTTCATAATTGTTCATTCTTTATGTGGATTTAAGCATGATTGATACGACTTTTCCCGATTTTCTTTGCATGTGTCTTGTAACAGAAAATTCCTGAAAACATAGAAAATACCGGCATAATACGAATAAAGAATAATAGAGGTAATTAAAATGCGGATAAAATTCATATAAATTAACCTAAATATTCGATATATTTTCGGGTTATCAAACAAATTTAAGGCATGTGTGTTGAAGTGGCTAAATCTTCGATACCAGAGCCATGAATCATCAACTTGTACCTTCATGGCAATGTTAGTTGTATGTTTTAAATTTAGCGGGAAGCTTCTATTGCTCTTATTCATCTTCACTTGGATTATCTCGGCCCTTTTATTTTTTTTTTGTCTAAGATTTTGCATACTCCTCCTTCAAAGTGAAGTGTGTAGCCTCTCTCACTACAACATTTGTTCTCTTTGGCAACACTTTTTAATGCAACATGTAAAAATTGTTGCAAAAAACATATTTCTGGCAACATTTTGCGCGCGATGCTAACAATATTTTTACAACAACTTAAAAATGTCCCCTAGGACACTTTCGAAAACGGTTCTTAAATGTACCTCAGTTATTGTTTTGGCAATACTCAATAATTGTCCTCTTAAACGCTTATGAGGACGTTTTGTAATTGTTGCACCATTTACAAATTTTTTTTGCATTAAACTTTAATATTAATAAAGATCTGAATTGCAATCTTCCTTTTAAAAATATATATATTTCTATATAAAATACTTTAATAAAAAGATATAATTTTTTCTTGTCATAAATAAAATATTAATGAAAATTTTGATAACAATTTTCTTGAAAATATGTTCACGTTTATTTACTGTTATTTATTAGTAAAACTTAGAATGTTTAATTAAAAATATAACACTGATTATTTATTTTATAAATTTAAATTAATAGTTTTAATGTTACGTAAGAATTTATATAATTAATATTATTTAATTATTTTTACAAAATAGAATAATAATAAAATAATATAAACATAATAATAATATTAATATTTGTTAAGAGATAAAATCTTTATCAAAAAAACGTCCCTAAAACAAATGAAGCCATCGTTACTCTTTCTCATGTTTTTTTCATTGAACCCAAATTTGATTTAGGTTTTTCATTCTCTTTTAATTTCAACCTTCCTTTTCGAAATCGATATCATTTTCGAACACAAATTGATTTTGTATTTCATTCTTGTTTTCAATATGAGATCCCAAATCGATTTTCACCAAAGAGAAATCTCTTCAGAACCCAAATTCTTTGAACATCAGATCTCAACTCCAATTTTGTTTTCAACCTTAAAACCCAAATCGATTTTCACTTAAGGGAAATCAATTTCGCCCCAGAACCTAAGTTCTTTTGTAACTTCAGAATTCAAATCCAATTTTAATTTCAACCTGAGAACCCAAATTGATTTTCACCTTCAAAACCCAAATCAATTTCAACTTTCACCATCGAAATTGTTTTTACCTTCACCACCTTAATCGAAATCTTTGCCCCTTATAACTAAAATTGAAATAGCTGATTTCCCTCATATTCCTAATCAAAATTTCAGAAACTCTTGATGGTGCTGGTCGTCGTTTGCTGCGAGTGTTCCGCTGGTCATATTCTATTGCTATCATCTTTGTGTCTTCATTTTCTGTAAGTTTCAAAGCAATTTCAGTTATGTCGATTTGTTGACTGGTTTTATGGTCTGATTTATGTTTTAATGCGTGAATCTTTCTGTTTCAATATGTGAATCTTTATATTTTTGGTTCTTCACTATTTTCTATTTCAGAAAGAACCGAGACACAAGGCATAGTTTAGATTCTTCATTATTTCACTATTTTCCATTTTGTGTAGTTATTGTTTGTGCTAAAAAAGAGAGAAGATATGAAGCATGGAAATAGATAATGTATGTTATTACCGACAATGCATCGTATGAATGAATTGGGCCGTTAGATGTTTGTATACTGTCTTTATAGACTGATTGTTGTTGAGTGAATGTTGTTTGTTATATATAATCATATGATGCAATGTAAGGTCTACCTCACAGAATGGTATGGTGCCACACTGTCAGTGTGTAACTCCTAGTACACAAATTCTATTAAATTGAAATTCTTTGAAGCTCAACTGATTTTGATCTCCATGTTTGCATAACATCTTCTAAAAACAAAAATGGTGGTCTTGGCTTATAAATGATGATATCTATAATTATTATTTTTTATTTTTTTGTTTTGGTTGAAACTTATGTATGTTCAATCTGATAAGAACTTAAAAGTTCTGATCATTGTATAGGTTTCTATTATTTTACTGACTCATGATAAGAACTTAGTTTTTTTTCTTCATGTTATTAAGTTATGCTTATCAAATAAAGATTAGCAAATAATTGATTGTGAAAATAATTACGCTTGATGTGTATGCCATTTTCTTATCTACATAGTGAAATAATTTTTCTTTACCTTTAAATAAAGTTGCATGATTAATGTCAATATATGCTCCAACAATTACTTTTTTGTTGTTGCAAATATCTTAATTCATGAATGAATACCATGACATGTTTTTGTTGGTTTTGACTTGAAATGAAATAAATGGATTCACAAAATGAAATACCTTTGCTGCTATAATAAACCACCAAGAAAATTTAGAGTTTTTTATAGATTAAGTTTTTTTTGGGTAAGATTGTATATTAATTTCAACATGAAGGATTCTCTCTGATGCATGTAGGTGGAATGTAGAAAATTTCAATTGATTTGAATTGAAAAATCTATAAACTTATATAGTTAGTTTGATGCATCTCTGGTTGAATCATGTAAATATTTTGTTTATATAGTAATTTAGAATTTATTTTTGTATGTATTCAACTTGTGATTGGAAAAATCAATGCTTATGTACACTCCAATGGGTTAACATCGTAAAGTTACATTCATTTATAATTTTAATTGTTTGGTTAGTTGTTGGGATTGGATGATTTCCATTTCTTGTTTGGATCAGATGACTTAGTTGGAGAATTCTATCTTGTTAATAATATATTTGTTGTTAAAAAAGGTAGTGGCTTAGATTTTTGTAAGAATTGTTTTGGTTGATTTGTTTTAATTTTCTTATGTAACAAGGTATCAATGAAGATGTTGACGAGGACGATGTCGTAAGTGACCAATTTCATGCAGACGATTCAAGTGATAAAGATGAATTATGTGAAGAACTTCAAGAGAACGACATGGATGACGAGCTTCAAGAGGATGACATATATGATGAAGAGGGCAATGAAGATGATGATGAGTTTGACAAACTTGAATGAATTGGATGTTGTTGTTTTAGACTTGTTCATAAGCATTATACTTAAAGAAACTATGTATTACGTTAGGCATTTTGTTTACCGGATACGATCTTGAATTAATGTTTGAACTCGATTTTATTATAATACAACTTTTGTGGAAGTACCGTTACATTTGATCTTGTTTAAGTTATAGTAAATATTTTTTATGGTGACATTGTAAAAGAACAGCCTATAAGTTATGACTACACTTTAAAAATGATTCTCCTAATTCATATTTAAGGCAATGCTTACTAATTATAGCCACAAATGGCAATGCTTAAAAAATGTTGCCTCAAAGGCCACAAATAATCGTCCCCTAATCCATTTGTTTAGGTGACGATTATAAAAAGCGTGCCCAAAGAACATGAAAAAACGTCCCCTTAGACAATAGGCAACGCTCGCACAGGAGACGCCTAGAAAACGTCTCTTATTATTTTAGGCAACGATTTTCAGAGTTCTTGCAACGTTTTTTAAGTGTTGCCAGAGACAACAAATGTTGTAGTGTCTCCATCATTTGGCCAATGCTTAGAAGATTTTCTTTAAGGTTGGGGACTAGTAAGACATTATGGATGAGTTACGTACCTTTATTTGTCTCCACCATGACAGTGCCTATTCCTTTTGATTCAACCACACTGCCATTTCCCAATCGAACTTTGACTTTGACAAACTCGTCAATGCTTTTGAAAATAGTCTCATCCTTGGCCATGTGATTGCTACATCCACTATCCAAGTACCAACTTCCTCCTTTTTCTTTGACTGGGTTTTGAGTGGCATGGAACATACATTATTCTTGATCATTCTCCTCTACGATATTAGCTTGATGCCTATTTTTGTTGCGACAATTTTTCTCTACGTGCCCAAACTTCTTGCAATGGTTGTATTGTGGCATATTACGGAACCAACAACTTTTCTCTTCGTGGCCCAGTCTTTTTCATATAATGCATGGAGGATTTTTATCTGTTTTGTACTTAAGGAAATTCCTATAACCTTCTCTTCTTCTTGAAGTTTCTCCATAATTTTTCTTTCCTCCATTTTCTTTGTTTTGGGGATGAAATTTGAGTTTTGACTGGAAGACATTTTCAAGTGTATCTTCTTTATGCCTATACAGTCTTTGCTCAGATGCTTCAAGAGAACCCACAAGTTTTGTCACTAATAGAGTGGACAGATCTTTGGTTTCTTGGGTCAAACTTTAGGGGCATAGTAATTAGAATTTTCTCAATAATTTTCTTGTCGAGAATGTCTTCCCCAAAAGCTCTCATTTGATTAATTATTTCTTTAACTTTAGAATAGTAATATTTAACTGTCTCAGACTCCTTCATCTTCAATAGTTCAAAATCTCTTCTTAGAGATTGAAGTTTGACAACATTTACCTTAACGCTTCCTATGAAATCCTCTTGCAATGTGTTCCATGCTTCTTTGGCAGTCTTATCTTCCATAATTCTTGGGAAACTTGCATCAGTTACCGCTTGTTGCAAGGTGAACAACGCCTTTGAATTTTTCTGTTTATTTTTCTTCAACTCTTTTTCTTGAGCTGCATTAAGAGCTGAAGTATCTGCGGGAACAATGAATCCTTCTTCTACTATGTCCCATAAATCTTGAGAAGAAGAAAAATGTTTCCATTTTAACACGCTAGAAATAAAAAATTTCACCATTGAAAATAGGGACAGAGATAGTTGATGATTGAGTGGTGTTATCCATGTCTTAGACAAATATTTAAGTGGTTTAATAGTACAAGGGAAATTTTTGAAGTAGTTGGGAGGAATTTGAAATGATATGTATTAATTTAACTACGTCCAATGTATGACCGAACGTAGCTCTGATATCACTGTTAGTATTGGTGTAGTTGATAGTTGATAAAAGATAGTTTTAGAGAGTTGTTTAGAAAGAATATTATGTCATTGATTTCTTGGATGATCCATTACAAGATATCAAATGTCTATTTATAGGCTCAAGTCACCAACCTCTCAATAGTGGTGAATGTTTCTACATTACTTTAGATTTTTCTAGAGTTTTCATGATATGTTAGTATCATGATAGTTCTAGGTTCTTCTATCTTTTACATACACTTATAGTTCTAGATTATTCTACCATATTCATACACACTATAGTTTCTAGGATATTCTACCATTATCATACATATTATATTTAGAATATTCTAAAAATTTGTAGCAATTTAAAGACATTCACTCCATCGTGTATTATCCGTCAACCTTCAACTTTGCCGCCATATCTCAAAGAATTCAATGTTTTGCATTTGTATGAGATTCGAGAAGAAATTGAAAAAGGAACAAGTGGAAAGATGAAGATGAATATGCAGCAGGCAAGAGAGAGGGGGAGATTTAGCGTGTTGTTTTTGTTTATTCTCGGTATTGTCCATCCCTTTGTTTTATTTGTTCTTTTTTATATTTTATTTTTGTTTCAATTTTCCACCGTCACGTGTTAGCGTTTCGTTGGTGGCCATGAGATAGTTGAAAACTTATGCATACTTAGAGAGAAGCATGAGCGCCGCCTGTGTGTTATAATTTTATTTTTTTATTTCTTTATATGGTAAATTAAGGTTAGTCTTTTGGTTTGGGCCTTCGTTCATATCTTTCTACCATTTTACTCAATGTTATCCTATCTCAATCTGCACTCTTAATTTTATCTAATTAATTTTGTTTTTTACGATTTAATTAATTAATAAGTAATAAAATATATAAAAAATGGTCTTTATTTTAGTTAAGTTAATTAGACTATTTAATTAATTATATTAATTAGTTAGATAAAAATTATATCGTTTATCTTTTTAAAATTAAATTAATCCAAATATTTTTCACAGTAAAATTAATTCAATGTTTTACATCAAATATTAAACTTATGTGATTCTCCAAATACTCCATCCACAAGCGACACGTGACCACTCTCTCCACATCCTTCATGACAAGTAACATGTGGCCAATAACTGACCACGCGAGGAGGAAGACTTTATCAAACTTTTCCCGCTCATTGTCTATGTATATTCTTTAATCAAAATGAAATTTAAAACAGCTAACCAACGATCAAACCATATTCTACTAACTTAATAAATACAAGATTATTTTTAAAAAAGATTATGGAGATATTTCTCAATAACTACGAACTCCGTCTAACAATTCCAAGGAGAATTCGAAATATCTTCATAATCCATAAAAAACACCAACCAACTATGACCTACGAATTAGGACTTTGATTCCTCATAAGAGGATACGTAGACATACGACTTAAAATTGTGGCGAGTTCCCCTAACAAAAATTAAAACCCTATTTCTTAAGATGTAATTCTAAACCCTAGTATCCTTATGAACAAGGTAGATGAAGGCTTCCTAACACCTTCCCTTCATCTAGAAACAAGTCAAACAACTTAGAACCTCTGACTAAATTAGGATTATCCTTTATACTCCCTTCCTAAAGATGAAAATTAAGGGTGGCGACTCTCGAATTAAAATCAGTTCAATTGAGCTTGGTCCTACAAATCTTGTTAAGGAGAGAAGTCAACCCTTCTTCATACAAGTTAAAGGCCTACACAACGCCTCAAAGGCAATTATCATTGGTGATTCAGAAGCAATAGTATCAACAATTTCCCTCTCAACAAAATTGGTATGCCCAATAAAAAAAAGACAAGGGTCACCCACATGCTCTGACAATTCGAAGAACATCCAGAAGCTCTCCTAAAGTCAAGTGGATCAAACGAAGAAGCTCTTTCATAGAATATTCAGACTTATCAATTTCAATTTGTAACTTCCAAGTTGCTAAGTTGTATTTGGTGTGAATTTGTATCTTTTGATTAGTAATTCTAATAAAATGAACATGCATGTTTTTGAAATCAATTCACTCGTTTCAGTCTCTATAAACAATCAACGACTTTCCGTTTTTCACTCTTCTTTTTCATTTTTTCAACTTTGACAAACTTTGAGGGAGAATGACGAAAGTTAAATAACTAAGTTTTGCAAAACTATGCTTTCAATGTAAGACTGAGCTAACAATGTAAGGCATTGTTTCAAAGCCTAAATAGTGGAGAAATAAAGGAGTTAATTCATAGTCAACCCCCTCGAGCCAGGAGTTGGCGTTTTATTCTATTTTCTAAGATAAAAAACCCTTAATCTTAACTAGGGCGGGATAGATTTCTATTTACTCAATGGTGCATTCAAATTTCAGGAGAATCAGTCCATCTAAGCAAAGGTTCAAGCATATCTTCTTCCTTAATACACCAATCAAGATTGAGGAAATGATCTAGGCAAAAGTTCGAGCACATCTGTGGTGTGGTGAGAGAACTGACTTGAGGTTTTGTGTTTGTTTTCGCAAATGTTTCGGTTGAGCAAGAATCGCCACCGACTTTTTATTTTATCCTAAGGAAAGGTTAAAAAGCACAGCAAAAACCTTTGAGATGTTTTCTTGGGTCCGGGGAGTAGATTATAGAAAGGGAAGGTATTAGCACCATTTATATCCATGGTTATCCATGGGCTCTTAGTTACTTGTTTAGATCACTTGCCTTGAATTTTCAATTGTTTGAAATGGTGCTTTCAATTGTTTGAAATGGTGCTTTGTGTGTGTGTGTGTTTGAAAATGTTTTGAAAAGAGGCCATTTGTTGTGGCAACCTTTGTAATTACCCATGTTTAGATGTATACAAAGGTGTATGTCTTTTGAAAAGTTTTCAATGTTTTTGAAAGTTGTTTTGAAAGTGTGTTGTGATGTGTGGTTTTGAAAAATAGGTGTGATACGGTGGGAGAACTGACTATGGTTTTGCGTTTGTTTTCGCAAATGTTTCGGTTGAGCAAGAGTCGCCATCGACTTTTTATTTTATCCTAAGGAAAGGTT